TGACATTCTCTATGCTTCACCCTTTCTCACGTTAAGATCTAGAAGCAAGGGTTGCGGAAACAAATGCTGAGTAAAACTGGTCGGACCAAAAGAAACCTATGCCCTAGCGGCTACAGCGTTTTTGCTCACCAACGTGATCAGAATTTTTTCCTACACCCCGAGCTTTTTAGCCTTAACTACGGAAAAAGTCGGAACGCATTAAAGAGTATATCTACCCAGCAAACATTCTCTGTGCCCGACCCTTTCTCACATTAAGATCTAGAAGTAAGGGTTACGAAAACAAAACTTGAGTAAAACTGGTCGGACTGCAAGAAACCTACGCCCCAGTGGCTGTAGCGTTTTTGCTCACCAGCGTGATCAGAGTTTTTTCACCCGTACCCCGAGCTTTACAGCCTTAACGATGGAAAGGCTCGGAACGCATTAACCTTTTTATACAAAAAGGGGAGAAGATCTAAAAATTTGTTTGGCCATAACGAAATTTAAGAGCTTGTCCACTTATTACAAGTTTGCCGCCTGGCTTATCTACCTAACTAATTTCTTGGGGGATGATTTCATCCTCTATCTAGGCAAGTAAGTCCTATGCTAAAGGGGCCACCTCCTTCTCGTTGTCGTCTAGCTCGGCGTCGGTGTAGACAGGCGCGAGAACCATCACAGGTAAGGTGGGATACGGAGCTAAAAATGCTCCTACGGCCCATTCAGGCCTAGGAGTTCGAAGGCTGGCCCTCCGACGGGTTCACAGCCGCTTCGGGGCCCCCTTAGAGTGAGAGGTGGAAAGGGATGGGACCACTAGCGGCCAGTACCTAAGCGCAAAAGCGCCGTGAGCATCCCGGCCCACGTTCGAGTCTTGGTCGGTTCCCAATCCATGATTTTTCCTTGAAGAAAGGCAATGAGCCCTTGGGACCGATCAAACGGACCCGAGAACTATATGGATTGGCCACGGGAGTCTGGAGTCCGTCACCAGCTAACCCATGCCGGACCCCTGCGAATCGGAAGCTGGGGCCCCACTTGGACTAGCCCGTTAAAAGCTCACCGAGCACCATGTTTCGTCCATCTAGGAAAAACATAGCACGACTTAGCCCCTCTGTTTTATTGAAAAAACGCTTGAGGGATGACGATCACAAAGACGAGCCGACCCTCGACCGGACCCCTACTATGCACGGGGGCTCGTGGGAAGTTGGACTCGTAAGGAGACATAATGCGTGGTCGCAGTACGACGGTGGACCGATCGGATCCTAGGGGACCGGAATCAAGAAAAATCTTTCCGACCTCCCGAATCCTATGGTTACATGCCCCCAAGAAGACCGATCATGACAAAAGGGCATCGCCGTCCTACCAAGACACGCCATGGGCTACAAAAAGAAGGCAAAGGCCCTCAGAGTCCTCCCGTCCGAAAAAGCCTCCAAAGGAGTATTCTACTCCTCCGTAGGCTCGGGGGATACTGTTGGGTATCAATACTAGGGATACCTAAAGCAAGGAAGTTAGCACCCACGCTGACTTCCCTGGATGGCTCAAGACATATTAAAAGGTCTCGCCTGACCCAAGGCCGCGGGCTCCGTCTCGCCCTTCCTCGAGGCCGTGGGCTCTGTCTCGCCCGACCCCAAGGATGCGAGCTCCGTGTCGCCCAACCTCAAGACCGCAAGCTCTATATCGCCTAACCCCTTGGGTGCGGGCTCCGTCTCGACTGACCCCAAGGATGCAGGCTCCGTCTCACCCAAGGCCATGGGCTCCGTCTTGCCCGACCTCGAGGTCATGGGCTCCATCTCGCTCGACCCCTTGGGTGCGGGCTCCATCTCTCCCGACCTCACGACCGTGGTTTTGGTCTTGCCCAAGGTCACGGGCTCCGTCTCGCCTGACCTCAAAGACGCAGGTTCCGTCTCGTCTGATGGAGACCCATACCGCCGCCAACCACTCCAAGTCCAAGCGTATGGGCCTAGGTCAAAACTCTAACACCAGGAAAGAGGCTGGCACACCTCGATGTAACCTATGGCTGACAGGCCATACCTGAGGATTCACATCAAGAACAGTGTCGGGCATGCCGATGCTGTTCTACCTAGTCCTCGTACGGACGTTGACAGGCACGTCAGTTCACCACGACGTCCACCGGGATAGAGTGGAACGCCATGACCGGCAGGTGACGCCTACGCATGGCGCCAGTGACGAACAGGGCAGTGACATGGAGCCGTGCCTGTTGACATCTATAAGATCGGCGGGACCCGCATGAAGGAGAAGAATGACCCGGCGACCCTAGAAGCTTTCTTCTCTCTCTCGTTCTTCTCCTTTTTCTCCACTGTAACTCGCGCTTTCCCTTCGCCTATAAAAGGAGAAGCAGGGCGCCCCATGAAAAGGAGAAATCTGAACACAAGAGCACGACACGAGCACACGGCTGAGTAGCAAGCGAGCTCTCAGCTCCCGTTCACTCCTTCCACCAGAGACCTGGGATACTCTCCCTCTCTCGCCTGTTTGTAAGCCCTACTACAAACCAAGTGCCGGTAACACGAGCAGCAGTGAACTGGACGTAGAGACGTTCCGCTCAAAGCAATATAAACCCTTGTGTCCTCTGAGCACACCATCCGAGCCAAACGCGCAAATACAAATTTACTCGTCGGTGGTCTGAAAACACCGACAAAAAGTATCATATTTGGTATTATACAATATCTAATAAATAACATCTTTTGTAGCCTTACGGTGCACGTCGACCAGTGCTGTACGCCGCACGCCTTGATCTTGTGTGCTGGGCCACCTCTGATGGTGCGGCCCATGTCTTGTCCTGTGGGTACCGGGGGGTCATACCCCCACAGTACGACCTCCGCGCCAAGGCATTAAGCTTCGTGCCGGTGTCAAGCTCCACGTCAACAAGCATCCATTGGGGGGCAGCAAGTAGATGAACACATACGGCAACCGTATGTTTCATACGTTTCAGATGTATGTTGCATATATTTTATCTGGCTGTTGCAAAAGTAGATCTGGTATTGCATATGTTACAATGACTATATACATATGTTGCAACTGTATGTTTCAAATGTTTCAGTTGTTTCAAACGTATGTTGCAAGTGTTTTATCTGTATGTTGCACTAGTTATACACGTATGTTGCAAGTGTATGTTTCAAATGATTCGGCTGTTTCAAACGTATGTTGCAAGTGTTTTATCTGGATGTTGCATATGTTGCAGTGCACATACACATATGTTGCAAACATATGTTGTAAATGTTTTATCTGTTTCGGACGTATGTTGCAGCAAATGTTTTATATTGCAAGTGTTTCATGAGCAGAGCGGCAAGCTTGGGAATTTCACATCGCTAGGCTACTAGCTAGCCGCATTTGAAGTAGATCAGTCTAAGGTTCTGATTGCTACGATTTGTACGATTTACTTCTTAGAACTTGGATCTTCTGCTCTTGCAATGGATTGGATCTTTTATGGGGCACACAGCGAAGGTGGTCCCCGTGTAAAGCAAAGGAAGCGAAAGTAAGCACAACAAAGAAAGTAAAAAGCACAAAGTTGCATCCATGGGCGGGCAGCAGAGACGCGAGCACGGTTGCATCCATGGGCATGGCAAGCAGCGTGGAGCACGGTTGCATCCATGAGCAAAGCGCGAGCACGAGGAGAAGCAGAGAGCACGGCTGCATACATAGGCGCCTAAGGGTATTATTATTGAAAACGGGCGGACAGCGAAACACGGGCGTCCCAGGCGTTAGTCTCTCCGTTTATTAACCAACGACTGTTCAATATTTTATCCCGTGTGGCTAGAGTTTTTTTTTGTCGACAATGATATCTTAGGCTATTTTTTTATTTGTAACGATGGAGATGAGTAACTTCTTTAGATAGAATCTTTTGATTAATGGCCAGATGTTTCTGATTAATTTGAGAATTTATAGCATTTATCTTTTTTTCCTAATGCTTCTGGTGAGAATTAACGTGGAGCCTCCGTTGAGGCCTCTAATTAGTAATAGTAAGATACCAGCCCTACAGTTGTACTGTACCAACGTTCAGGTGAGTTCTGCACTGCAGTAAGTACCATTTTTCACCTCCTCAAAAATCAAACTGAATTCGCTGCAAGGCTACATGACATGCTGTCACAAATCACAATTGTCACGGCGCTGAAAACATGCTATATGCTCTTTTTTCAGCACATTCTAGCTAGTGCCATAGATTTGTTGCCAGTATTGATGGACAGATGTTAATATTCAGAGATGCACTGCTGCTGCTGCTTCCCCTTCAGTACCGCAAACGCTCAGCTGCTCTAAACCGCCGAATATAGCTGAGGTCACTGATCAGATACTGAACCTATTATTTTTCAGGATCCTCTCTTCTGGGATGCAGCTCACTTTGCTCACTTTCGTCTTTTGCATTGTCCTACTCACCCTTGCCAAACACACTAGTTATTTCACAAGTTGCCCATCTAGGTGTAAATCATTAACACTTTAGGACGATACATTGATACTGCCCTACTACAAGAACAATGGGCGGCAGCTCATTGCCACAGATCGAGTTGGTAGCCAACAAGCATATGTAGCAAGTTGCAACTAGGACAACAGATACAGCTGCCTACTGGCACCGTCCCTTTTCTCTGTTTGTTCCTAGCCAAGCCAACTTGTAACAGTAGCATCTTCCTTTTGAGTTTGAGTACAAAGAAGACAGCCCTTAGGAGTTAGGAAGAACTTTCCTGAAAGTTAGGGATCACACTATAACTATAGCTATGCACTAGTAACTGCAGTCCCTATAGCAATTGCAATGTTAGATTCCAGCTAAATAAATCTGAATTATCATCATCTTTTGCTTTAAAAGATCCAGTTACAAACTTACCATTACCATGTTGGCTGGCTCTGTCCAGTCAGTCAGTCGGCGACATCTCTGCAATTAGCAACTACAAATCCCTACGACCCTTCTTAATTAATCTACTGCCTCGATCAGCACCTTATTTCCCTCACACACAGCCATGCACATGCACCAAGTTTCACAAGTTCGATCCAAACAAAAGCCCTTCATGAGCACCATGCATGGCCTACGAACAACAGGACCCTGACGAAGAAGAACACATCAAGGGCTTGTACGGCCTCTGGCAGATGCGGTCCATGACGACGACGAAAGCCATGACCATGGCGCAGTCAGCGTCCGGCATGACGGTGAGGCTGAACACGTCTTCCCCGAGCGTGACCGGCTCCGACGCCGCCGCTGCTGCTCCGGCCTTCTTTCTGGTTATCCTCGCCACCTCCTCGCTGTCGCCACTCCGGATCTTGCAGCTTCTCCTCCAGAAGCTGCCCTGCACCGTAAAGCTTGGGACTAATTGCTGGGCTCCGGATCCTGATGCCATGTACACTTCGGCTTCGTCGGTGCCTTTGACGAGCGAGCATTTTCTCATCGAGAAGAGATGTTGCCGTCTGGGGAAACTGGTCTTGTCGCCGCTGGATTCTTCTGATGATGCTCTGTAGCAGTTCCATTGGTCGCGCATGCTGAGAATCTGTCACGGCATGCAGAGGGCGGCACATTGGTATTCAAAACTGGCGGGTAATAAAGAAAAGGTAACCAAAGGAGATATAGATACTACTAATGCCCCAATCTGTTTATTTTATTTTGCAGCTCTGGTCGCTTTCTGTTGTTACTTATTATAGTTTATTACAGCTGTAAGCGTGCAGTAATAAGTTAATTACATCGTAGAGTATTTCAAAGCGCGTGAAAACAAACAAGTATATTATATGAGCAAGAGCGAGCCATATCAGAGAAACCAAGGCATTTTGGTTGTCTGCAGGCTTTTGGACAAAAGTGCTTCTGTGCTTGTGTGTTTTTCAAGTAGAAGGCGTGTTTGCAGCATCTGCTTGGCATCTGTGTGCAAGCTTCCTCAGGTAGTTGCATTTTGCAGAGGACTAGGAAAATCTTTCAACTTGTGTTAGGACTAGCAGTGCCAGTGAAATATGTTATTCATCATGAGACTTGAGGATTGCATTGGCGAATCACTTTCTGAGATACTGCAAATAAATCTTTGCCCACCTAACAAAGAAGAAAGATTTGGATCGTGTTGCATGATCTAGAACTAGAACTAGAAGAAAGAAACTAAACCCAGGCAACAGGCATATATGTTTTTGCCCTAACAAGAAAGATTGCGCATTTCTTCTCCGGATTGACAAAATGGAAAATCATCCATACACCAGACTACGAATAATCGTCTACTATGCTATGGGGATGTGGGATACGATCAATTAATCATATATCATCCCTAATTGACAACGCAACCATACGCAATCAATCAACCAGAGCGTAACGTACGTACCTGCGGGCGGAGAGCCAGGAGTGGCGCGCCGCGGCCGTCCATGAGGAGGAGCTCGCCGGCGAAGAGCTTCCGGCGGCGCGAGTAGTTGTCGACGCGGAACGCCAGACTGCCGGCGGCGTCGTAGACGGAGAAGCCGTCCGTGCCGTGGAAGCCCATGCTGGACCGCTTCCACACCGTGTACACCGCAGGCTGACCCTGGCCACGGCGGCCGTCCCCCGCGGCGCGGCTGCTGGTGGCAGTGGTGTCAGTGGCACGGCCACAGCCGCCGTCGTGACGATGAGGGACGGCGACATCGGATGGGTGTACCCGCGTCGCGCTGGCGGCGATGCTGCTGGGGCTCGACGTCGACGTCGACGATCGCGGTGGCACCGGGTGCATGGCTTGTTCGCGCTTTGCTTCGTTTGATGGATGGACAACAGAAGTTGCTAGCTAGCTTAGCCGTGCCTGTGCTGTACGTGTGCAGTGCCGCTCCGCTTTATATACGACTCAAAACCAGCTGCTGCTCTCTCTAAAAAAAAATACAAAAAAGGAAGTAGCAGAGGCAGTCATCACTCATCAGCCATATCCAACGGCCGTTGGTTTGGTTTTGCTGTAACTGACTGTACGATGGACGGTTGTTTCGTGCGTTGGCTCGCCATGCATGCATGGTCTTTTGACTTTTGCACTGCACTTTTTTGCACACATGGATGAGTTTGTTTGTGGCCGGTGAGTTCGCAAATGCGTGGCGATGCAATCCACTTTAATTTGCTTCTTTCTTTTTTTTTCCACAAACAAGCAGTAGACACACACGAGCACCACAGTCACGTCCACGCAAGGCCCGATCGATCGTACATGGTGAAGGCTACTAGCTCCATCTCAGTGCTGCTGGGGCTGTTGGCACTCGCCAAGCGCAGAATCAACTAAAAGAGGTGCGTGGCAGTCAACAGGCATAGGACTTTACTCCGTATTTCTACATAAGTTGCTTGTTGAAGTGATGTGGTACTAGTATACTTTCTCTCTCTCCCTGAATAAATAGATTCCTAAGTTGTCTTAAGCCAAAAATTTTAAACTTTAACCGAATTTCTAGAAGAAAACGTTAAGAGTTAGGTATCAAATCAGTATCATTAGATTTACTATAGAATATTTTTCATAAGGTGCTCATTTTATGACATGGATGTTGTTACTCTTTTATATAAAGTTAGTTAAAATTAAAAAAGTTTGGCTGACACGGATTCTAGGAATCGATTTATTTGGGGACGAGGGAGTAGTAGAGTATATATACATTATTACATATGCTATTCCACATGCATAGAGCACTTTTTTTTGACAAAACCCATACAACACTAGAGCACTCCAATTCCACGCCGCTTAGTAGAAAACAAAAGGAAAATGTGATAATATAAGACCAGCAGAATAATCAAAATTAGTGAACTAACTTATCACAAACATATCACCAAACATCTTGTGTGCATGAATTAGTGGTGGATTTAGTAGACCAAAGCCTCTCCACTACTCTCCCTAACCGTAGCTCTCAAGAACACAAGAATTTGCTCTCTATCTATTCCTGAGTTGGAGAAGAAGGCATATATATTCACAATAATGTTCACAATGCCCCTAGAGCTCCAGATTATCATAAACAATTCCAATTTCAACATACAACATCAACATGTATAGGAAATGTTTTGTACACCAAATGAGCTAATTGGCATCTAAAAGGTGAAATTACGAGATGCACATCACAATTCTCCACCTCAGCGCGCGGCAATTGAGACACATATCAAATACATCAAGATTCATGATGCCAAACGCCCAATCTTCAAATGCTTCAACTTGAGTAGACAAATAAATAAGTAACAAACTCACCACCACCAAAGCTCCACATGGAGCTAGCTCGGGCAAGAACCAATATCAACCAAGTTCAAGCAATGCTCAAACTTGGCCTTCGAGATCACCTTGGTCGACATATCTGCTGGGCTTGGGTTGTCGTTTGTGTCAATTTTCTCACAATAAAAACGTATTTTGTTCACATGAGGCTAAACAAATAAATTGCACACATCAATGTGCTTGGTTCTCTCATGAAACTTTTCACCTTTTGCAAGGTGAATCACACTTTGACTATCACAAAAGACAACACAATCAACTTGCTCAATGCTCAAATCACCAAGAAACCATGCAACCAAATGACCTCCTTCACTGCCTTGTCCAAAGACATAAACTCAACTTATGTGGTAGATAAAGCAATTGTATGCGATGGAAGGTTGCCCTCCAGCTAAACGCAAGACCCACAAAGTTGAAACACATAACCAGTGAGGGAGCGCTGTCAAAAATATATTGATTTTGTGAGAGCCAAAATCTGCCTTCTCAATATATTGATTTTGTGAGAGCCAAAATCTACCCTTTGACTTGTCACAGCGAATATACATACCCAACAACCCCTTGACTGCACCCAAATCCTTCATCTCAAACTCACTTTTGAGCATGGCCTTTGTTTCATCAATAGTAGATTTGCTCTTTCTTTAAATAGGGATGTCATCCACATAAAGTAACATGAACACCCTTGAACCATCTACAAGTACCAGCTGAAACACACAAGCATCATATGAACTTTTTTTCAAAACCAAGGCTAGTAACATAAGAATCAAAACGATAGTACCATCGTCTTGGAGACTGCTTCAAACCATATAATGACTTCTTCAGCAAACAACATGGTTTTCTTTTCTTTCAACCACATAGCCTTCTCCTTATGACATATAAATCTTCTCCTCCAGCTCACCATGAAGAAATGATGCCTTCGTATCTGTTTTCTCTAATCCAAATCAAATAGAGCAACCAAAGATAGCAATGTCCAAATGTAAGTATGCTTCACAATTGGAGAAAATAACGCATGGTAATCAATTCCCTTTTTTGAAGCCCTTTGCCACCGCGTAGCTTTCTACCTTGGAGCAACCTCTATAGGAGCATCTTTGAGATTAAACATCCATTTACAACCAACAATCTTACACCCTTTGGGTGGCAAGACCAAGTCCCAAGTGTTATTCTTATGCAATAATTCCATTTCTTCTATCATAGCCTAGACCCAACTAGCTGCGCGAGGACTAGGAACTGCCTTTTTGTAAGTGCTAGGCTCAATGAACAATATCCTCTAAAACCATGAAAGCAAAAGCGGTTGCACCTCTGTCTCTCTCTACTGGTGTGACCCACTCTCCATAGAGCTATCATGATTTCCTTTGTCTCTGAGGACTATGTGCTATAGGAGAGTCTGGAACCTCTGAAGCTCCACCTGAAACTGTATCCTTTAACTAACTATCAGCTACATCTAACTCATGATCTTCCTCATCTGTGTCACCCTGAACATTATCTACAGACTCTGAAGAAAATGGTTGCTACTGCCGCTGACTGTCAACTATAGTAGACTCAATCAACGGAGCCTCAACCTCAAATGTTATCATATATGCTACTTTCTCTGCCTATGATGAATTGCCACCTAAAGAAGCTCCACCTACAGTGGAAGCCTCTCCCAACCACCGACTGAAGTAACGATCATCATCTCATCAAAGGTCGCACCCAGTTTTAAGAACAAAACTATGTATAGCCCATATGTGTGCCCAGGAATTCAATTCACACATATAGTTACAAATGAAGGGGTAATATCAAAGACAATGCCTTTATTAAATAGCGCATAAATATTTGTTACAAAAGACATAGTCTTACTTTACAGTATATACTATAACTCTATTCTTCTAGCGAAGCCTCCAATACCACAGGAATCGTCAACTGGTTGAACGCAAGCCTAACACCTCTTAGAAAACTCCACTGAAGAACCTCCATCTGGTACCCATCTGGGATTTTGCCAAAGTATTGAAATAAAACAAGCGTAAGCTACTACCGCTTAGCAAGCATAACATGAGGAGATGCAGGCTCAAAAGGCTTGACACGGCTGAACTACGGTAAGCACTTTTAGTTGGTCATATTTTATTATTAATCATAAGTTGCTAAGTTAGCTTAGGCTCCCGAATATGAATAATTAGATATATCAGCAATTTTAATCATAACCCAAGCCGTCCAAGTACCCAACTATTCAGTAAGGATCCAGGCCGCTCGTGTCTGTGAGCACGACTGATATACCAGTTTTACACTCTGCAGAGGTTGTACACTTTCACCATGAGTCATGTTACCCATATGCCCGAGTTAATTACTCTCAAAACACTTCCAAGGTGAGCAGGCAGGGTACACTACGAAGCTTTTTCCTAGTCGTTCTAATAAGGAGCAGCCACTAAGGATTCCATCTCCCAAGTGTTATGGAGTCATCTCCAAGAATGGCACTAATACTCGCAGCATAGTACACACCCTGGGGATGAGGCCCATACCCAGCCTGGTATGCCCCTCTTGCCCTTTCGGTAAACTGCTACAACCTAGAAAGAGCAAGGTACTAGACTAAGACTAGAGCCATGTGGCCCTCATGGTTATATTGTAAGTCCTGCGTTGCCACTTAAAGATGAGTCCTTGTGGAGAGAAACTAGAGCACCATAAGAAAAGGCCCAATGCTCTAGCCCCCTTGGTTCTATGTTGCTAAAAAGCATCTTTTAATACCATGTTGCATATATCTTTAATTATATTCTTTAATCAATATTAGTTGGAGCAAACTGAGCATTCTACCCACATGCAAAACCCATATGTAACTCAAGGACAGGATAATCAATATCAAGGTAAATAGACTCCAAGCGGTTCATTAAACATATGCATATGAGTTGAGATTGCATTTAAGTGAATAGGTAACAAGGAGCCTCATATTATACTTGCCTTAATTCAATGTATCGCTGCTGGTCTTGATCTTCAAAGAGTTGCTCCAGATCACCAACACAAAACTCACTGTCTACTCGAGATCAAACAGCACCACACATGCATCCATACATACATGCATAGCAAACAAATATAAGCTAATTAGAACAATACACCAAACAGTAGAAATAGAAGTTAAAAATGTTTTAAAACTATTCTACACGATGCTACGAGCACACATGCACGAGAATCACTCAAAATCGGAGTTAAAACGAGGATTCTACGCTAATTTCAAGGTTCGGTGGCAGTTTTGTAGTTTTTAAAATGGACCTATACGTAATTTTGATTATAAACACGAGGTCTAACCTATAAAACTACCCCTGTGGACGGCGGGTTCTATTTTTATAAAATTCAGGGTTTAAAATGGAAGAAAAAGGACTTGATTTGAAATACTTTTGAAAGAGAGTGGACTGCGGGTTTATTCTATAAAAGGTGAAGGGCTCTTTAGCAAAACGCGTTGCGCGAAGGGGTAAGTTCTAATCTGAGCCGTAGATCCGCGGATGGACGGTCGAGGCGGGTTGGGGAGGTTTGGCCGGCCGGAACAGAACACCGGCGCGGTG